TAGTTAGAAATGAACTTTGTTCTAAAATGAGGACTAATCTTCGGGGTTTTGGACTGCTAGTGAAGGCTCTTAATATCAATATGCATCGAGAGGCTAGACCCTACTTCCACAGTTTAATGGTATGTCTCCAAGATCCGTGCTCTAATGAAAAAAGTCATCTGGAAGAAAAATTTATGCTGCGCTTTGGGGCCTTTGGCTGCATGTTTTGACTAGATACTTGTAGATAAAAATGGATTAGATTTGGGAAAGGCCAAAAGTACATCGAAGTCTGTATTTTTGTATGGCTGATTTGAGTAAGTATAGTTTGAGGTATTCTAAACACTGTCAGTGCTGCTAGAGGAATGTATAAGACAGGAACGACGAAACTTGAAGTAGGAGGGATCTTTTTCTCATGATCTTATAGGAGGAGTGGGTTGTTGCAATTTTTGGCTGGAAAGTTGGGAAGCAACGGTGGTTCTGATCCAATTCATTACACTCGTAAGAGCTTCTCTCATAATCTTTTCCATCCTGTACTCTTCCCATTACTTTCTTTAAGGATGAATCTGCAAATTTTGTTTAATCCAAATTACTAATAGTTGCTCAAATTCTTCACATACTGATCCAAATCAATGCTGTGATTTATGTGGAGTTGTGTTCCTAAACTGCTTATGAACTTGATTGAGGTCATGACGGTTTATACATGCAGAGTTTCTTACGTAAAACTACCTTAAAACTCCTGTATTTTGCGAAATTTTTGTGAAGGGCCTGCATAATCTTGTGAAAAGAGATTCATGCCCTCCTTTTCAAAAGAAAATCACTTCCCTTTGATTCTTTGGGAAAAGAAAAAAAAATCGAATGTCGTGTGTCGCAACCCTCCCGTAGATGACCATTTAGGGGTTGGCTAATGGATTACTAAATCTAGACTTAGCTCAAACTCTCCCAAACCCTTACCAATTCGCAACTTTGGTTCAAGTTCTTAAAATGCAAATCAATTTCATTTTGGAGTGACCACTAATCTATTTTTTCTGGGTCAACTAGAAACTCAAGTAAAATATGTGAGCATTACTTTACTTTTACAAACCAGAGATTATGGATTCAAGTACTTGATTACACTCGATTACCCTAACGCCATTTCGGTAACTTTTCTCCTTTTATTATCAAAAAGATATTTTGTAGGCAACTTGGATTGATTTTAACTTAGACACTAACATGTGACATGATTATGCGGGTGCGCAGCCAACAAAAATAACACTCAATAAGCATAAATCAATAAATAAATTACGATGAAGAAAGAACTTACTACTAAAGTTCTAAACTATTGATTTTTTTTTGCTTTTCATTTTATCAAAACTATCTAAACTTGGCTCTAAATTATGACTACGAAAATATCTAACTAATTCTAAGCTATGTTTCTACCTAGCCAAGAATTCTAATTAATTTTCTTTGGGTTTTTCTTTTAATGAAAACTACTAAAGAAAACATGTAGTGTGGCACGCAATTTTTTTTTTATTTTTCATTAAAATTCGTAATTAGAAATTAATAAAAATGAAAGTTATCTAAATTAAGATATTATCTAATTTAAACTAGCAAATGGACTAACATAAATCCTATCTTAACTTAGAAACCTATCTTAGCCTGCAATTCTATCTAAAAAACAATATATAACCTACATATTATCTAAACATGCAATTTTAATTGAATTAGGGAAATATCTAAATTATCCTATCACGCAATCTTTTTGGTATTTTCTCAAATCATGGAAGTTAGCTAAAGTAAAGATAAAAACTTACCTAATCGGCACGCGTATATAAAATAACCCAAACTCTAATAGGATAATGCCTAAAATCTTGAATACCACAATAAAACAACAAAATCAATCAGAAATAAGAAATCAAACGTTTAAATCAAATCGGATTAGATTGTTTCCTAATTTAAACGCGCGTAATCCAAATCGGAATCGGACGGATCACGGATGGGGGCTCACGGCTGGCCGGCATATGTGGTGTTCGGCGATGCTCATGGCAACCTGGTTCGGCCAAGGACACTCACAATGAGGCCGAGGTTGCCAGTGGGTAGTGACTCGGTGTGATGTTTGTCGGACAACCTGCGAAACTGAAAATCGTCACTGTTCGGCCAGCGGGACAGCAGGGAACGAAACGACGGCAGGTTCGGCTGGTGCCACGGTGTTGCGGATGCTGGCTGTGCACTCGGCTCAGCAAAGGTGCAGTGGCTCGTCGAGGCGGTGGATCTCGGCTGAGGGCAGCGTCGGGCTTGCTAGGATCGCCGCCGGTCGCGACAGAGCGCTGGGCTGATCTGGCCGTGTACTGTCAGTGGCCACGGTGGTCGCCGAAGCTGCTGACTTCGTCTGGAGTTGCAGGTCTGGGCAGCAACGTCGGGAAGGAAGTGGGAGCTTGTTGGTGTCGCGAGTCTGCTGGGGACGACGGAGGTAAGACAGCGATGTTCAGAGAAGAGGTCGTTGGTTGTTTTCTTCTTTCGGGAACGCCATTCTTCTCTCCGATGTTCCTCGAGTGTTTGGGGCCAATCACAGTGGCTGGCTGGCGCAAGAAATTTGTCTCGAAAGAGCAAAGAACAACCGGAGGACAGCAGAGGAACTCTCGGCACCGCAAGGCTTCCAGAAGGTCCATGTGGCGGCGTGTAAGAGCAACACCACCGGGAACAACCTCGGAGCAGAACCACCTCGCCACTTCTGGAGAAATTTCAGGACACTTCTGCTGCGAACGATAACCATTATGTTTCTTTATTTCTATACCAGAAATAGGTTTGGAACAGAAATCCGTTTAGTAATGCAATTCCATTTTCTATTTCTGGAACAAAATTTTGTTCCAGAAATATGTTTGAAACAGAAATCAAAAATTAAAATTTTTTGCTTCTCATTTCTGGAACAGAAATGAGAAGTTAAAATTCTTCTCATCGTTCGTCTTCGCTACTAGCCGGTCACCGGTCACCGCCCACCCGCCGCCCATCACCGCCTACTTGCCAGCCACGGCCACCCGCCGCCGCCGCTCGCCTCCGGTTGCCGCTCGCCTCCCGTCGCCCGCCACCATCTCCTGCTGCCGGCCTCCCTCCTCCCGCAACCACTTGCCTTTGATTGCCACCCACCTCCCATCGCCGACCGCCGTAGGTCACCGCTTGCCGTCCACCGGCCACTGCTCGCACCTCCCGCTGCCGCCCGCTTCCCGCCGTTGGCCACCGTCTCCCATTGCCGGCAGCACTCCTCCTGCCTCCCACCGCTGGCCACCGTCTCCCGCCACCGACCTCCCTCCATCCGTCGCCGCCCGCCTTCGACCGCCGGCCACCGTGGGCCGTCACCCAGCCGTCCACCGAGCACCGCTCGAACCTCCGACCGCCCTCCTCCCGCCGCTGCTCGCCTCCCGCTGCTGTGGGCCACCGCCCGCCGTCCACCGGCCACCGTCTCCCGCCACCAGTCGCCCATCGCCGGCCGCTACCCTCCTCCCATCACCGGCCGCCTCCAGCCGCCATCCTCCGCATTGGCCGCATCGTTGTCCCGCCACCGCCTCCGCTGTCCGCTCGGAATTTAAAACTCCCACTCTCTCAGCCGGCCAATCCAAGTATCGCCACTCGTAATCCTTTTCTGCAATTTGCTTGATCAAATTAATAATCCTAAATGCATTGCCAAGATGTAGCTTTAATATCTTTGTATAGGGATCGGGCTCGATCCCTAGTTTTCTATGCAAGCAATTACTAAAAGGGTAAACACCATAAAAAAAATTCCAAACTGGTACACTTGTGACAAATTTACCTCAAACTATATTTTTTTTTACTATAAAAAACCCCAAATTGATATATCTATCACAATTTTATCCCGAACTAATTTTTTGACCACCAAAAACTTCAAACTGATACATTTGTGACAATTTTACCCCAAACTAATTTTTTTACCGCCAAAAACCCCAAACTGGTATATCCGTGACAATTTCAAATTGTTAAGTTTGATGACATGTGGTAATTGACCGGTGTACCGATTTGGGGTTTCTCCCCTCTGTTTGTTACAAGTTTACCAATTTGTGATTTTTCGTTGTATTAATTCAATTTAACGGAGAGTAAATTTGTCACAAGTGTACTAGTTTGGGGTTTTTTGTGGTAAAAAAAATTAGTTCGAGGTAAAATTGTCACAGGTGTACCACTTTGAGGGTTTTGGTGGTCAAAAAATTAGTTTGGGGTAAAATTGTCACAGGTGTACTAGTTTAGGGTTTTTTGTGATAAAAAAAATAGTTCGGGGTAAAATTGTCACAGGTGTACCAGTTTGGGGTTTTTCATGACATTAACCCTTACTAAAAAGAGCGCGAAAATTTTGATGTCAACATGCATGATTTGGCATACTTTGTAATTTGCTTCGGTCAGACTATGCCCAGAAATCTGCTTCGTGCCGGAATATGCCATTTTAACAGGACAGGACCAGAAGAAACGGTCTTGACGATCTCCAAGTACGATTTGAGCAGCTTGTGGGAAAGAAAATTTTAAATTTTAATTAAGTTATTTGGTGTTAGACTCAAGGTGGGTGGACGATGGGAACAGTTTTACTAGATTTCTCATCATTTGACATATTTTGTGGGAGTTAGCTATCTGAATGATGTTTCGGGTACCTCGCAGTCACGAAAATGAATACCTGGTTTTTCTGTGAAATGTTTGAATCTCTGAGGCTTAAATGAGAAGGGATAGAAGGGAGAAGCTGCTATTTTTTCTTAATGTCTTAACAAGGCTCGGTAGTGACAGGATGACGAGCTTCATTTTGTTGTCAGTGTAAGAAAGCTAGCTTTGGTCTGTACGTGAGTTTTGTCCTCGCATTGACTGCACCAAATGCAGAAATGCTCGTTGGCTCTGCAAGTTCGGATGCTCTCGAGAAATACAGAGTCGACTCTGCCCGCGCAAAGGAAATTCTTACCTGAAATCCACCATGGACTGATCAACTCTCAACCGTTGATCTGGTGGGTTCTATTTGATTCGGGGCTTAGACCATTCAACCGTGGTCATCCGGTCCGGTCCACGTCGAACCCGAACAAGATGAGAAATACAGGTCGTCGTCGAAATGCTCCTTGACATTGCATCCGAGGCATTTCATTTGCTCCACTCGAAATGAATGGACAGTGGCAACTTGGCATCTCGGATTAAGCTCGAATCCAGCGAACAGGGCGCTTTCGACAGCGAATGGAAAAAGCTATTCTGCACTTGAGCAATCTCAGTCAGTGGAATGGATCGTGGTGGTCCTTTCCCACTCGGGTTCTGGTGGGGACCTCCTGTTTGGAGTCTTGAAAGTGGACTTGAACACGAAACAGATCTCTTCATGCTCCAATCATAGTCTGAGTGATACCCAGATTAAACTGTTCAAACCAAAGCCCCGTTAATATCATAAGCAACGGAAAAACTGCAGAACGAACGGGAGATTCATTCATCTCTAGTTCTATCATCTTTTAAAATATTCATTCACCACCACAAGTCAACCATAAAATATTGCCGCGGCCAACTTTTCTGCTATTCCCCTGTTTTCTTGGCTCTTTACAATATGCTTGAACTTGCTACACGTGAAGGCTCTCATGGTGCTACAACGTACAAGTGGAAAAAAAGGCGATGATTTTAGGTTCACCCGTTACGTGTATTGGTGACCCATTTCTGTATTCCGTGTGCAATTTCTCAGAATGGAGATGGAGAGATCAGGTTGCGATCAAGATCATGCAATTCGACAGAGCAACAGAATTGCTGGTGCAATTGCTCAGAGTTCAGCTTCAGGGCGCACTGAAAGTGGAGTCGGAACAGGTGGAGATGTGGCGATTAGAGAGTTTAATGTTGTTGATCATCAAAACCCAGAGCGAGAAATGATGGAAAGTCAAGAAACAGTCACTCCACCTTCTAGACTTCTCATTAGATACTTGTACATCGGCCATTTCTTGGCCAGATGGGGTGCCAGGTTTTTCTCTCTAACTGTATAAGGAAAACAGAAACTGGCATTTCGAGTATCAACTATGATTCTGTTTCTCTGGTTTTGCTTTGACTAGGCTCTGCTGTTGTTGTTGTTGTGGGAATAGAGGTGTGTATGACGCCTAATATGACTCTAATACCACCATAGGTAGCCAAAGCCCTAGTGTGTCGCTAACACCATATTGCTCGCTCTGGTCTGGACTCACCGGTGTCCTTATGGCCTTAAATAGCAATTTTTTAATTTGATGTTGGGCGAGGCTTGTCTACTGGTGCAACAGTCTAAACAAGGGTAATGTGGGATGAGAGATGTCTTTGACGCACCGCAGATGGAATAACGATGAGTTAGGAGATGCACCAGATTGCTATCTTTAGCTGAGAGGGTATCTACATCATGCACAAGTTTCTCAATCAGTCCTTCAGAGTTTTCTTTTGGTTGTGTCCTTTCCTTGCCATTCTCTGCCTGTGGTTTATGAGAAAATGTTTTGGGGTCAGTCATACACCATGTCATCAGCTTCTGGTTTAAGACAGCCAAGAAGAACAAGCGAAATGATCACGTTTTGCAAACAGAAGTTTTTCCATATTCATGTCCGGCATAATATTTTTGTCATTGTACACCCCTCATTTACCTGATGATGTGCCGTATAGCAAACATTGAAGTATCTTCTCATGGTTCATTATACTACGTAGCAAATATGTTGTAGGTAAAATTCAATTTAAGCAGCAAATAGCACGAAATGAAAATAAGGTAATCTATTATATAACAGCACAAAACTTTAAATTTCCACGAGCTGAATATCTGCGATTTGGTAATTTTTTATAGGTGATGGTAATTTTTTCTAATGTCTTAGCAGTTTCATGTTGGTGAATTCCATTATTTTGTCAATAACTTTCTAAAACTGTTAAGCAGATAACAGATGTGTCGAATCGTCTGGCCCTTTCCATGCAATGTCTACATTTATATAGAATAATAGTCAGATTACCAGGAGGTCGTGCAGCTTGGATTCCATGCTCATCGACACTAGTCATTTGCTTGCAGGATGTGGGAATTCTCTGTTGCTTTATACTTCGTTAGTCTTTGGCCAAGTTCTTTACTTTTAGCTGCTATTTACGGTACAGTGGAGTCGGCCTCTACTGCACTATTTGGGGCGGTTGTTGGAAAATGGGTGGATACGTCGACTTATACAAAGGTTTGCAAAGGTTGCTTGTTACAATTGCAGATATGTTTCATTAAAAAATACATGCCGTATTGAGACTGAATAACTTCTCGACTATTTAATATTTTCTGAATTTCCATATACAATTGTGACTCCTCATAGTTTAAGAATCTTATAATATTTTCATTCAAGATTAGCATTACTTACGTTGAGCCTTGGCCACATACTGACATCTCTTACAACTGACATCTCTCACATCTGAAAAATAACCTGGAGAAAATTAGCTTCGTTCAACATATCCATGTTTTCGCCTGCTCTTGGCAACTTTGGAGGAATTCTCTTGATTGATAAAATATGCACATAGTTGTCCAAAGTCTGATATTGTATTCTAATCTTATTCAAGCAGTTTTTATTTTTTTGTTTTTTGTGGTTTGGGTTATTGGTTTTGTCACAAATGCTGGCAACAATATAATGCCTTCAATTATTTGCAGGTTCTTCGAATATGGTTGTTGACCCAGAACTTCTCTTTTTTCATTGCTGGGGGAACAGTGATGGAGCTACTATTTCACTCGAATTTAAAGTCGACAAACTTTGTGGCCTTTATCTCTCTAGTCATATTAATATGCTTCTCTGGAGCCGTTGGTGTTCTGTCTGCTCTTGCCGGTTCCATCCTGATTGAAAGGGAATGGTGATTGTATCTAATTGTTACTGTCCAATATTTGAGTTCTAAACATTTTTTGTCATACCATCAAAAGTTCCGTTGAATGTGGTTTAGGGGTCATGACTCTGAAAATTAAGAATTTACAGCTTTCTTGTTCCCTCATGTAGCACGTAACAGGCAAGGTGGAACCATAAAATGCTTGTCACCATAAAACGCAAAAATTCTCACCTAGGAAACCTGATGAAAGACAGTTTGCAGGGTGGTTGTGATATCAGAAGGGCATCCACCAGAAACGTTGACGCATATGAACTCAGTCATCAGAAGGATCGACCTAATCTGCAAACTATTTGCTCCGGTAGTGTCGGGCTTCTTTGTCAGCTTTGCATCACTGAAGGCTTCAGCCGCGGCTTTTGCACTTTGGAATTTCTCGGCTGTTTGGTTACAGTATTGGCTTATGAGTTCCGTATACAGCGGCATCCCCGCACTGAGAGAGAGCAACCAGAGGAGAAGACAGCAGATTCCTTTGGGTGGCACCGAAGGCGGAGTATCTACATTAGAAGGTGGGACGCGTCATGATGAGGCAAGTATTCATGGGACGGAAAAGAAAAGCTTGATGAGGACGAAAATGAATCTAGTCATGAATAGCGCTTTCATGGTTTCGTGGAGGACATACTTAAGGCAAGAGGTGGTACTCCCTGGCGTAGCTCTTGCCTTGTTGTATTTTACAGTTCTCAGGTAACAACATTTTCAAAGTATGCGGTTTGGAAATTGTGCTGGTAATTGCGGCTTGTAGGTGCGACATGATTTTCAACTTGTTGATGTACGTTTAGCATTTAGAACAAATTGTGCAGTATGTAGTATCTACTTTGGAAGACCGAGTATGAATATATTACTAGGTAAACTGTATTGTGCTGAGCTTAATTAGCTTTACATGGTCCGTTTTCTCTTGCTTTGAGATCATAGTTGATTGTGATATTTTTAAGCAATCATTTCCTTGTGGTTGTGACTCAAGTTCCCGTTTTTAAGTGTTGTTATTTTATTAATTTTCTCAATGCAGTTATGGGACTTTGATGGTGGTGGACCTGAAATGGGAAGGAATACCTGCTTATGTTATTGGTATAGGCCGTGGAATAAGCGCCACAATCGGAATCGCAGCGACTCTTTTGTACCCCTTCTTGCATTCTCGCATTTCGACACTTCGTACTGGACTTTGGTCTATTTGGTGCCAGGTACTTGCACAACTTTCAGCTTGGCATTGCAACTTCTGATTTAGGTTCAGACACACAGTTAAATTGTCTGATACTGCATGATAATGACACAGTGGACCTTCCTAATCGTATGCGTTGCCTCAATCTGGGTTCAAGACAAGCATTTGTCAGTGTCCATGTTGATGGGGGGCGTGGCAACATCTCGATTAGGATTGTGGATGTTCGACTTGTCTGTGACACAGCTGATGCAGGTGAGGATACCATGCATCAATCTAGCTGAATCCCTCTAATGAAGTGGAAACTTTTTCTGCCACGAATAATACATAGAACCGGCATGCTCAGCATTTTCCTAAACTTTGTATAGGACAATGTTCCTGAATGTGACCGTGGCGCTGTCGGAGGAGTTCAGAACTCTCTTCAGTCTGCTCTGGACTTGATGTCCAGCGTCATGGGAATTATATTATCTGATCCACGGGTAAAATTACCTTTCTGCTGTTGTATTATCTAAACCAGGACACTCTTAAGTATTGTTGGGTCAACTGTTGCTCACTAAGGTACTATTGATGGGCACACTTTGGAACTTATGAAACAATTGCACATGCCCGCATGAGAGTGAGAGAGAGAGAGCGAGCTTTGTTTGGTGGTTAATATAGTTTTAAAATTGATGATATTTGTCGAATGAGATTAGTTCAATATATTACATGTAAATCATTTTCTCTTTTCTCAAATAAAGCCCATTTGGACCTACCTTCAGTTACGCTCATTTTTGTTTTTTTTTTTTTGCTACAGGATTTCTGGAAATTGACATTGGCATCATTTCTGGCGGTAACATTAGCTGCAATTCTCTACTGTTTGCATGTCTACCGTGTCCGGAAGCACCTTGTTCACATGGAGAAGCTATTGATTATGGTCAAATGGTCCAAAAAACCCTCGTGAGGAGCAATGGTCGAAAGGATTGTAATGAAAGATGTTGGTCATTCACAGTTGTTTGATGAAGGATTTCTTTGAATGTTGAGACCCAAACTTGACGATTTAGGGGATCATGCCCGTTAAAAATTGTACCTAACAGCAGTTCCAAAAAGACTACATATTTAAAACTTGGAAGGCCCATGTACATGCATTTACTCAGAGGATCTAGGAGTAGTTGTTGTATCATAATGTGCAAATTCAGGGATTTCCTTGCCATGATGTATAAGTTCTACCGACTCTGATTTGATTACTATTTAGCTGCAATCTTGTTTATGATATTAGCTTATTGAGACGCTAATTACAAGTCATTCAAGGCGCTTGACTCGAAGCATCTAAGGGAAGGTCTGCACTAGTCAATCCGTCATGCATGACGATTAAGGAGTCGATCAGCTCTAGTGGAGTGAGACAACGAAACTTTTATGCTATTTGTCCCGGAAGTTCAAACCTAAAGATGGTTCAAGTTCGGTTTACGTACAGTCCATAATTAAAAATGAGTCAATAAAACAGCTTTAATAGGAACCCTGTTTAGAATGTAAATGATTGTTTTCAAAGTTTCACTCCATAGAAAACTAGGTAAATTGGTCCTACTAATCATACTCGTTATCATTTTCACAAGGATGCGATTGCGCTTTTCAGCCACACTATTTTGTTCATGACTTCCAAGCATAGTAAATTGAGCTACTATCTCAGAATCCTCCAAGTATTTGGCAAATGAACCTTTAAGTTGTCCAGCATTGCCATGACTGCCAAAATACTTATCACTTCGGTCACATCTAACAACCTTTGTGATTTTTCTCAACTGTTTCTCGACTTCAGTCCGAAAAATCTTGAACTTGTCAAGAGATTCAAACTTTTCCTTAATCAAGTATAGATAACAATATCGGGAATAGTTATCAATAAATATGATGAAATAAAAATTTCTACACAAGGTTGTCGTGGACGGTCCATTAATATCAGTGTAAATGCCCTCCAACATATCAGAACTACGGACTGCAGTTTTCTTCTTTTTTATAATCATCTTACCCCTATAACAGTCTACGCAAGTATCTAGATCACTTTTAAGAGCATGCAGGATATTAGCCTTTATTAGCCTTTCCACTCTTTCCCTAGAGGTGTGACCAAGCTGTTTATGCCACAACGCATAAGAATGTTCCTTAGGTAGAGGTCTCTTGGAAATAACATTTTTAGCCGTATAAGCGACGTATATATCATTAGAAGAATCCATTGGACATATTGCAGCACCTAACATTATTAGAATTAAAAAAAATAATTATAGTACTATTCTTTATTTCAAAAGAGTAGCTACACATGTCCAAACACAATACGGAAACTAAGTTCTGTCTAAAGGAAGATACATAAAAATTGTTTCTTAACATCAAGTTAAAACTATAATCTAGAAATCAAAATGACAATCTCCCACGAACTCGACGTCGACTTTAATGTCGTTTCCCACTATGAGCTTTGATTCATTCTGATTTGGCTTCTTTCAGATTATGAATCCCTGTATGGTAAATGCAATATGATTTGTTGCATCGCTATCTAGCCACCATGAATTGGATGGGGCTTCTGATAAGTTGGATTAAAAAACAAATGCCAAAGAATCATTAAAAGCATACTCACTCTTGGACAACCAAATTTTATATTTGTCGTCGTCTTTCTTTATGGACATTTCTTCTTATAGAAGGAGCAACGATCATCATCCTTCTTGAAGGAAGCTTTCTTAGATCCCAGACTATCAGAATGATCGGTGGTTTCAAGAGTTCCTTTATGAGTACGATTTTTGGACCTATTAGTCTTCTTATTGCTAGAACTAGAGGCATACAGAGCAAGGTGCTCTCTTTCTTTCTTCAATTTCTCTTCCTCTGCCACCACCCTAATGATCAGGTCATTAATTGACCAAGTCTTGATAATTCCAAAATCAGGTGGAATGGTGTTTAGGGCCTGATGCACAATGCAAGTAACAGGAATAGTAACTTAAAGAGCCTGAAGTTTTGTCACTAGGTCTACCATTCTAAGGACGTAATCCCCAATCCCATTAGAACCATCACACATCATATTGAAGAGTCCTTTCAAATGTATCATAGTCTTAGCATTAGATGAGATACGATTTTTAGCCTCGAAGGCTGTCATCATCAGTTTAGCAATGCAGTTAGCTAACAAACCACTCTCCAAGTGCTCTCGAATGGATTGCTTCATAGATAACAAGCAAATCCAATTCCTCTTTTCCCAAGCAACAAAGTGTGCTTTCCTCTTATCATTAGTAAGAGCAATAAGAACATCCACCAGCTCCATCCCAAACAAAAAATCCTCTTTCCATTTTTCAAAGTTTGAACAAGTAAGAATCTCAATCGCAATGAAGTTGCCGTTTCTAAGAAAGTGATTGAACAACAAGCAATATATACAATTAACATCATGTGAGTACTGTGTAACTTGAAACCACATAAGTACACATCCTGAGAGTTACATACATCATCATATAATCATTTTTGGGCAAAATACATGACACACGGTAGTACACTCTCCACATGATAGAGGCCATGAGAATATACTTTAACCTTCATGAATTCATCACCTTTGGTTGTATGAACCACTAGGATCAGTCACTTCTCAACCATATGCTGTACATGTGTCCCTCCAGGAACCAATAGACAATCATCTCCTTTGGGAGTATGACTACGCATTAGAATAGGAGACATCTCATCACAATAAAATACTGATATTTCTTAAACTGAATCAAGTGTGCCACTTTAGCTGTCACAACACAATTGAATCCATGAAACTCTCTCTTACTAGGGATATAAACCTTATATCTCACATTTACCATATACATATAATTTTAGACTTGAAGACAATGGCAATTTGTTACTAAAATCACATGCCATGCCAATTACATTGTTCCATTCATTGCTACATGTGAAACCTTATACATGCTATCAATGAATCACGCTCTACACATTCTTTTTGTGATGATATACATGTGAGCTAGCAACTGTATTTCCAAAACCATAGAGAAATACAAGAAAATACACAAAAATATCCTAAATAATACCCATAAATAGGGTTCTGTATGTATTCTCGCATCATTAAAAGCATTAAACATGTAAAATAAATACACCACATTGTAGAGCATCTCAATACGAGAACACTGGTACTAAGAACGCTCCAAACGAAGGCCATACGCGGCCTCACTCGCCACTTGAGTGTGCGGTGCGTGTGGCACACGCTCGGCGTGCTTGAACCGGCTTGGATCGCCGATTCGACTGCTCCGGTCTGGATCACCAGTCTAACTGGTTTGACGATCCGATCAATGGTCAATTCGAGTGGGGTCACTGAGTCAAGTCCCGTGTCGGATCGAGTCACCCACAAACAATCGAGTCGACCCGCGTCGCGGGGCGTGGCCGCGTGTGCGGCGTCCCCCGGAGGCGCGCTACCCATTAAAATGCTCGCCTCGACAAGTACGTTCCGTTTATGTGATCAAAATCAATTTTCACCGAACAAAAAATTCCGGAAAACAGGTCAAATTCGTATGTTCTAAATCTAGTCTATGGTTGCTCTGATACCATAGGTATGCCGCGAAAACGACACCCCAAGATCTCTCTGGCTAGAATCTATAACACAGTAGTTGATAAAAAGATATTTGCGCACCTAATTTAGGATTCATCATTCTTGATGCGAAATAGCGACGATGTTGAGTACGAGTGCTTCTCCTCTATTACCCTTTGTATCACTGGCTTAACGAGATTGCCTCTCACGATTAACGTTCTTTAGTAGCCTCTTATGTGAGGTAATTTGTGCATCACGGATAAAAGAGAGACTTGGGCACTATTTATAGAGTTTTAAGCCAGAGACCCTCTCATCAAGTCCAGGCTTTATTTGGCCCACTCTAACCAGGCCCATATTAGACTAATTAATAATCTTTATATCTTACCTTATTAGATTTACCCAAAAAAACGGTTAATATCAATCTCGATTAATTTAGGTCATATTAAAAAAACTCTTACAATCCAAACAGTGGAAAGAGCCATTGTCCGGCGGACAAAAAAGGGCAAAGTCAAGGGGAGGAGTTTAGTTTATGCAAATACACATCCCTGGATATAACCTACACGACCCTTTCAAAAGCCAACTATTTAATTGACTTCTTTAGGGTTTCTCTTCTTAAAAGGGGAAGAACAGAGTGAGTTAACACGTCCAACAGTTGTAAGGGCTGGTAGAGACAACCTACACCAGTACTCATCATATTAATGCACCGGTAAAGTCAAGATCAACACGTTGGCTATTTGGTTCGGTCGATTCTGATTTCATTGCAACAAAGAAGCAGAAGGAAGAAGGAGAAGAAGAGGAGGAGGAGGACGAGTCGCTTGCTAAGATTCAAGAAGTCACTTAACCTACTACAGAAATGTCGAGGGAGCCGCTCCTCGACCATGAAACGTCTTCTCCACAGCCTTCTCTCCCATCGCACCTCACCAAATATTTGTACTCGGGACACTTCTTGGCCAGATGGGGTGCCAGGTTCTGCGATCCTCTTTGGTTCAACTCTCCTAAAACTCCTGTTGCTGTTCTGAATATGCTCTCCTCAGGATATGATGACTTGCTCTTAATTTTGGCTATGCAATATTTTGGAGTCTTTTATACTAGTGTATTGGCGTACTCTCTGTATCATTCCTATTTCGGATATATCAAAACCTTTCCATCATTTCAAATTGTCCCAATTGGTATCATCACCTATTCGTCCTTCTCTTCCATGCCTGACGTACTATCACTGGAACATCAAAGTTTTTGAATTTAATTGAAGGTTTTGCTGTTTGAACTATGAAACGTAATCACTTCAACCAAAGAAATGCTTTCTAGTCGCCAGATGGGAGGTTACTCACTGTTTAGTGGGAAATACACAAGTTGTTGTCCTAGTTGTGATAAGTGCGGATGGTAGTATAATTCTTGTTCCGACAAAAAATTACATGCTCTAGGTATAAATCCTGAAGTTATCTGGTAAACAGTGATGGGAAAAATGATGAAGAGAATATGCTACTTGCCTTTCAGTAGTACTCGCATTACAGGATAGCATCTTTGTGTTCCGCTATACCTCAATTCATAACTGGTACATGATTGATAGTGAAAACATAAATTTGCCCCAATTAATGAACAGACAATGAAAACTTCATCTTATGCTGTTCATTAGGAAAATCGATCCTATTACTGATTAAATTTCATTTCAGTCCTTT